GAAGCATGGACAATGACAACATCCGATGAGGCGGCTCTTGGAGTGTTTGAGAGTAGATTTTGCGGAAGATTTTGGGGNAATTAAAATACAGCGGCTCCGCTGGCTTGGTCATGTCGTTCGAATGGACACCGACGCTCCAGCTCTGAAAGTATTCAACTCGGAACCCGCTGGTGGTAGCAGAGGAAGAGGGAGGCCCCCACTGCGATGGAAAGATCAGGTGGAGAAGGACTTGGCTTCACTTGGCGTTTCCAATTGGCGTCAGTTGGCACAGAGGAGAAACGACTGGCGTGCTTTGCTGCACTCGGCCAAAATCGCTTAGGCGGTTACAGCGCCAAAAAAGAAGAAGAAGAAGAATATGTTTAATGTTCAACCTGAAGGCTTCTTAGCAATATTTCATTTGACACCCAGATATAAATTTTCTAGATAGCTTTTGAATAATTAATTTAAATTTGTCTTTTCGAACAGGTGGCAACCCTTTCAAACTACTAATTTTTTAAGCCTCTTGTCATCCACTTTTTATTATAATTTTCAAATAAATAAGTTCCTTCATTTAAGTCGAATTTGATTTTTTCAAAGAGGTGGCAGCCCTCCTCCATGAAAATGGAATTTTTTTTATATTCGTATATGCATCTATACCAAGTCCCTGTACTCTATGAAAATTCCGATTTATGGGAGGTGCCACTCCCCATCGTATAATCGAAATTAAATCTATCCCATATTTTAAGTTGGGCTAAATGGTCCCAGTGTACAAATTTTAATGTTAAATTTAAAGTTAAAGCGTGAAAACGTAACAAATAAACAAACTCACTTTCGGGTTTATAATATTAGTAAGGATATCTTACTATAAGCTGTATACCAAATTTCAATCTCATGTGACTTATGGTATCGAAGTTATAGCTGATAAAAATTTCCACACCTATGGGATGAGCCGCGCCCCCTTTTGTACTCATTTATATATACCTTACTATAAGCACCTATCATAGATACGTGTGCGTACCAAATTTTAATTTCATGTCACTTATGGTTTTGAAGTTACCTACCATAGATACGTCTGCATACCAAATTTCATGTCACTTATAGTTTTGAAGTTATAGCTGATAAAATTTCCACGAATATGGGATAAGCTACGCCCCCTTTTACAAACTCATGTATATATGTATTTAAGCACCTACCGTATATATGTATGTCTGAAAAAAAATTTCAATTTCATGTGCCTTATGGTTTTGAAGTTATAGCTGATAAAATTTCCACGAATATGGGATAAGCTACGCCCCCTTTTACAAACTCATGTATATATGTATTTAAGCACCTACCGTATATATGTATGTCTGAAAAAAAATTTCAATTTCATGTGCCTTATGGTTTTGAAGTTATAGCTGATAAAATTTCCACGAATATGGGATAAGCTACGCCCCCTTTTACAAACTCATGTATATATGTATTTAAGCACCTACCGTATATATGTATGTCTGAAAAAAAATTTCAATTTCATGTGCCTTATGGTTTTGAAGTTATAGCTGATAAAAATTTTCACGCCTATGGGATGTGCCACGCCCCTTATTCTAAATATGAGCCAAATCGGCAGTTAAATGCAATTTTTATGAATATCTCGACCCCAGCGCCACCTAGCATTAACATTTTTAGTCGAAATATTTCCCTTCAAGGTGCTGACATATGTTCCAAATATGAACGAATTCGGTCCAGCCGTTTAGTAGTTTCGTGACATTCATTATACGGAAAACTCTATGATATTGTGAAATCGTGAGGTCTCAGCATTCTTCATTTTTCGGCAACAACAACAAAAAGTTTAAAATTTTTTTAAATCGAAAAACCATCCACACAGAAGGTCAAAGAAAGTACTTTTTACAGAATTGAAATTGGTTCAGCCGTTTGGTCAGGCATCGCGGTCATAGGAAAAGCATTTCATTTTTATATATATAGATGAATATGCGTATACTTTCCATCTGTAAATCGTCGTTTAAAGTGCAAAACCGCGTATCAACAAAATGCAAAACTGCGTATGTGAAGTTGTAAAAATTATTTTTTTCTTTTTTATAAAGCAATCGCATTTCTTGATAGTATATTTCAGGACGAATGGATAAGGCTTGAGTCAAGAGCTTGTGTGAGCAAATCCAATTTTTGGCACCCAATGCNGTGCAAAACCGCGTATCAACAAAATGCAAAACTGCGTATGTGAAGTTGTAAAAATTATTTTTTTCTTTTTTATAAAGCAATCGCATTTCTTGATAGTATATTTCAGGACGAATGGATAAGGCTTGAGTCAAGAGCTTGTGTGAGCAAATCCAATTTTTGGCACCCAATGCCAGTTACGCGGTTTTGCAGGATGACGATACGCGGTTTTGTACTTTAAACGACGAAATTAAAAATGTAATATTTTCAAACTTGTTTAAAATATCCAAAACCTTGTATTAGAGTCCGATCGACATCGGCACTGGCTAGTATTGGCCCAAAATTGAGCATCGGCCTCGGTTGTTCAGGTGAAGCGACAGACTAAAGCCAACCAGCCGCCGTTTTAGGCCTTTGGTGGCTAGATTTAGCTACCACATACTTTTTTCGGCCACATAAATTTAAAATTGCCCCTAGCCCTTTTTTAGGCCTTTGGAGAATTTATTCATACTTGGTATGAATTTGATCAATTATTTTTTTTCCATTTACATATGTAAGAGATGAGTTTTTAAACTAAGAAATACTGATATATATACATATATGTATTGTGTGTACCTTACGTTTTCATTCATACATACATGTGAAAGTGTTAGGGCTGTTAACTTATCTATTATTTAACTATAGTTTAAAGTAGATAAGTTTACGGGCCTTAATATGCTTAATTTGTTAAATGGCAAATCAAGTCGATTGACCGTGTATGTTCTTGTCCTGTTATTGTACCAGCTGCTGGTGCGACTTCAAAAACTATGCTTTTGAAAATTTTATGATTGTACCAGCATGCTGGTGTCGTGAGTGGTGAAATTAGCTAAATTTTCTAAGTAAAAAGTATTTTGGCGGAAATTTCTTGCACTATATGAATCAAAGCCGTGTGTGTGGAGGATTAAGTTCCCCAGCAGTTGTGAATTAAAAAAAAAAAACAATGTTTAACAAAATGGTAGAAAAATTATGAAATTTCGGCTCTAATCATTTCGATCTTTCCTCGACCCCATTTGTAAAGAAATGAATATTTTAGCAGCATGCTGGTATGTTATATGCTTCGAGCCTGATGGTAAAATCACTTGATGGAGACAGCAAGCTGGTGTCGTATATTTTCCCTTAAATATTTACAAAACGTTTGCTGGGTTGGAGCTGCTTCGGCCGATGGAGTAAAAGGCGAAATGCTAATATTTTTCCCTTGTCCCTCCTACGCGTTTCGCCACTCTCGTGTCATCTTCAGGGAGTCTGTTTTATTTAAACGATAAACAATAAACATGAAGAACGAAAACCATGATTAACAAAAACATAATAATAGTTGCATACATACATACATATATACACAACAATAGTTACATATGTACATGTATACTTAACACTAATTATATACACATAATATCACTTGAAACTCACATTAAATATTGACAAGAATTTTACATTAATTTGCACACATTGAAGGTAATATAACATTTAGGAAGAAGAATTATTGAAAAGTATTCTTATTTATATTTTAATTTTAGTACGGCTGCATATGAGTTCTTCGTGTTGTCGACGTCTTCCTTAAAGTTTATTGCGTTGTCCAATTGTTGTATTCGTAGGCTCTCCAGTGTCATTCTCCTTCTTTCTCCTCTTTCGATGTCCAAAATTTCTGTGTTGCCGAAGTCCGTTATATGTTCGTGCGTTGTCAAGTGTTGAGCCAGTGCTGTTGTCATCTTTTTGTTTCTCGCGTCCTCTCTATGTTCATTGATTCTTATACCCAATGCTCTTTTTGTTATGCCTGCGTAGCATTTATTGCAGCTTTCGTTATCATTGCCCTTGCGCTTTATTTGGTACACTACATTGTGTTGTTGCTCCTTTTCAATCTTGTCTTTGGTTTTCGTAAACAATTTGTTGAACGTGTTATGGGGCTTGCGTGCATATATCACATTCTCATTTTTTATTGTTTTTCGGAGTACTTGGTTATTTGTAAGTCCTGGTATGTATGTCACCCCAATGTATTTTTTGTTAGTGTTGTTTGGCTGTACTTCGGTGTTTTGGCTCGGTTGGCGAATTTGGTTTATTGTTGTTTGTAATAATC